TTACATTTAATTAATTGCAAACCTCAAGATTTGATTACTCATAGTTCTCCTTTAGTTAATTTACTTGTTCACAGTTTTGACAGAAAAGCTTTCAAACTAATATGGAGGAGGAGCACAGTCTAACTAATTAGGGAGCTGAAAAATAGACCTAAAACCTTATGGCGAGAGCATAAGATTAGCAGATACCCAGGGTTGTATCAAAATGCTTAGAATGGTTGGGTTTACCATCAAGATCCAATTTCCAATAGCTGGACATCAGTTAAACATGAAAGACTCACTGAAAAGAATGATTCTGAGGTCCATCAGTGCAGGAGTGTGACTGAATTTCAGTTTCTTGGTTCACCAGGAAGGCATCTGCTGCTCAGTGAGTTGTGCTGTGCTCAAGGCCCCAGGCAGTGCCCTTCATCACCTGGTGCTGGGAGCGGGGCGAGGTCAGCGCTGCCCTGTGAAGGGGCTGGGGGGCTCTGCAAGGGGCCTTGCAGTTGTCATCTTCAAGTCACGCAGTATAGGTGTTTTTGTTGAAATCATTCCTGAGACTTCATAGAGGACTGAGCTTCAGTAGTCTTAGTATCTGTGTAAAGGGCACTCGAGTAAACGATTAACTACTGGTTTTAACAGGTTGCAGCCTGGAGATGCAGACAGCTTTGTGTACATGCCTCTCTAGTGCTTCAGGAGCCTGGGCTGGAAGAGCTGAACACATGCCCTGTGAGTCTGGCCCCTGTAGTACACTTAGGCCAGTTACAGTGACAGCACCCCGTTAACAGCAGGTCTCCTCGCAGCGCTGCGGCCTGTGGTGCTGTGTACTCCTAGTTAGGGTTGAGAATTGTGATGCAAAAGCATTCTTTAATTGAGGCTCAGAATACAGCTGCAGAATCTGACTTCATTGCAACCTGAGTATAAACTGTGTTGGCTTGCATGTCCTTGAAGGGTTATTTCAGGGCTAAATCTGTATGTTGTACTGCAGAGTTATGCAGACTTGTCAGAAGGAGAGTACACAGTGTCCTGACAAAACTGAAATTTCAGAATGAAAATTACTAATGGCAGTTGGCTGTTTTGCCATATGCACAATGCAGGTGTGCCTGAGCACACACCATCACAATCTGTTATGCACTTGTAATCAAGATTCATATCTAGAGAGCTGCCCCTGAGCACAGCTCCGAGGTGCCCGCTTGGTGGTGGTGCCGCAGGGCCCACAGGAGCTGCTGTCCCTCGCCAGGGCAGGGTTTGGGAAGCAAAGTGCTGCAGCGGTCCTGAGACTCAAGCTTTTCTTTGTTGTTAGTGTTGGAGAAGTTGCACATATTTGGCAGTAAGTGGCACACAGTTTATTTCCTGGATGCTTTGTGATTGATCACAACTGGGCAAAGATGTCTAAAGGAAGAGAAATTTCAAGTGTAAAAGGGGAGAAAAAACTGAAAACTTTGAAGTGTGTGATTCAGCTCCACAGGCTTTCCCTGTGATCCTTTTTATTTGTTGAAAGTAGAAGGATGTCCACATTGCAGCAGTTTCCAAGTCCATTTTTCTATGTGAGGCACTCTAAGTGTGGTTCTGCTGCTGCTATTTATTCATTCAGCAGGATGGAAATGATTCTTCAGCTCAGTAGATCTTCAGATAAGCCAGTTGAAGAATAGCCCTCCTTGCCACAGTGAGCTGGAGCTAAGACAGTTGCAGAAAGAAGTTTTCTTAATAGTTAAATAGAAGTTTCAGTAACATTAGCCTTGGCAGTAGTCTTAATTGGAGATTATGCCAGTGTTTGATTTGTTGCATGTTTGCTTCCATCCCTTCAGTCAGTGCCACGCCATTACTAATGAAACCATTTACTTCAGCCTCAGCTGTATTAGCTTTCAGAGTCATTGAAGGATTATACAGTGTTTTTGAAGTATCTTAGACAGTACAGTTCTGGAGCTTTTACTGTCGCACATTTAGAGCGGGGAATAGTAGAGGCTGAAGAGCTGTATAAAGGCTGCTATTGCTGAGCTTAGAAAGAGTACTGGCATATCTGCTGTAACTGTTCCTGACCACTCAGCATCCTCAGGCTGTCATGCTGTATACATTAGAACTGTACTGTACTCTTTAAACTTTTAATGCTGAAGTAGAGCGACTTTGGTGTGGCAGATGGCACAGCATGGATTTCTGGTACATCATTGTTTTTTTGGCTTTTGTCCTCATGGCAGCTGTGTCTGGTTAGGGAGCTCAGAAATGCCTGACAATAATTACTTTTAATTTCTGCAGGTGGCATTGTGGTGATTTGGGGACTTTTTATGACTTTCTGTTTGTTCCTCAATCCCCTTTTCTGTCTTCATTATGCTTCCGATGCAACTGCTCAGAAGTATTTTTTTATACAGGTCCTGGCCAACTTCTCATCTTACTTTTTCATTGAATATTTCATTGAAGACCTAAATTCACTTTCTGTTGCCTGTTTATGTGCTTCTGAATAGTTTATTTATTCATTTGTATATTTAAATTAAGCAAAGTTTTGTAACCTGGAGTTTCAAGGACCTGCATAAATACTGACCCAGGTGCAAATACTTACTGAACTATGTGTTCATCCATATGTGTTTGGGTACATATAAGTGTTAAAACATTGCATTAAAAAAAAAGTGTGCTCAGACTTCATTTTGATATCCTTTAAAGGAAATGCAAATTATTTGCAAGAGGGTTATCAAGCAAAAAGAGAACAGTCTTGACTGAGTACTGTTGTAATCATGATTTGGGGATGGCTGTACCTGAACGCTTGGGATTGGTTGGGATGTGGAGCAAAAGTGCAAGTAGGAGCACAGATCACGTAGGTTCCTGGAAACCCTGGAAGCAGTAAATTCCTCAGAAGATTTGTGATCGTGAACTCAAACTTCCTAAAGACAATGGGAAGTCACTTGTAGAACCATCCCGTTTCCTTTCACTAGGACAAGGTGCAGAAGTTTATAGACTTTCATCTTCTGAAAGTGCATGAACAGTTTCATCATTTAAGATGTATTATTTCTTTGATGGATTAAATGTGAGTGATGTCTGCCAGAGAATTTTAAAAGCAGAAGTTTAAACATCAGGGTTTGATTTTAACCTGATAAAAACCCTGTACCATTTGCAAAAGAACTTCAAAGGGTGTTTGAAAAACTCTATTTTAAAATAAAAAATGAGTACTGTTATGAAGTAAAGGCTGAAATGACCTGAGAAACAAAATAGTTGATGTTGTTTTCTGGACTCTGCTTTTGTGTACTTGTAGTTAGTATATATTAAAAATAAGATCAATATGGTTTTTCATGTAGCAGTGACAGAACAATAAAACAAATGCTCAGTTAGTGTAGGTGTAGTGTAGGCTCGTTAGACTTGGCGTCAGTGCTTTTGGATTATAGGACTGTGCAAATGTAGATTGTTGGTGAATGCTGAAGGGCTTTTAGGTGGGATGGGAGTAGCAGAACAGAACTGGTTGACTTTTATCATTTCTTTCTCATAACCTATAATCTCCAACTTACTACTTTTAATCAGGGATATCTTCACTGAAGTTAACAGGATTGCTGTAGCTGTGTGTGATGGTAATACGTACACCTCCCCCTTGCATTTGGAGTCTCTTGATTGCCTGCTTACTTAACTCATATTAAAATAATGAGAACCTTTGTGAAGCCTGTTAGAGGAGCAGCACAGCTAATCTAAATGTCAAATTCATAGTAGCTTTAAAAAGAAAATATTTTCATTTATGGTTGTGCAGCAGTATGGGATATGAAAATTATTAGTTCACTTTAATCAGTGTCTAATGTCTCAGTAAGCAGTACTTCTCATACAGAGCAGATTATTTAATTCTGTTCTGAATTACCATGTGCTACCACCAAAAAAAAAGTTGTTTTTGTGAATGCGAGTGTTTTTGTGGAACTAAATTACAAGATAGCTGATATGAAGCATTCAGTGTGCTTTGCAGGAGATGACAAAAGCAACTCATAATGTGCTGAGAGGAAGACACTATAGCTGGTTTTATCCATAACTGAATGAATCAATCATGATATCTGTAAGGATCTTTTTTGGTTATGTGTCCTTACCCCCCTCTATTTCCCATGTGATAGGAGAGATTTTCAATTACATCTTAGCCAGAGTAAAATTAATTTGATACTGTCCAGAAGAACATTTTATCTCATGCTGAAAAATCCAAAATTACAAAACTTGAAAAGTTTACAGTGATGAGAGAACATGTAGGGAAATCTTTTTCTTTTTCTTTTTCTTTTTCTTTTTCTTTTTCTTTTTCTTTTTCTTTTTCTTTTTCTTTTTCTTTTTCTTTTTCTTTTTCTTTTTCTTTTTCTTTTTCTTTTTCTTTCTTTTTAGAAAAACATGTAATGACGATGGTAGCTGGTAACCTGACCCTACTCCTTTGCTATTACTATTTTAAATTAATTCAGTTTCAGTCACTTGAGAATCTCCTACTTATTCTGTAAATTTGTAATGGTTTTAATATCTCATTAAAGTGAGGTTGAGTTTGTAATTATATTGTATGTTTCTTGCAGTTCCAATGTAGTATTTTTCATTGGTAATAATATTCAAATCAAAAGACTTCAGAAAAACAGTGTTTTTATATATATCATAACAGCACAGCATTTATTTTTTCCACTTTAATTGGCTTCCGGCTGTTGAAATTAAGAAACACCACATTTTACTAGTGTACTTGGAAATACTGTAGCAGCCAAGTCAAACAGAAAGAGATCAAAGTGCCAAAGTGATCAAAGTGACAGGAAATGATATTTAAAAGTATAATGAAAAGGAATAACGTGAAATAAATAGTTTTTTACATTATACATGTGCAAAAGGAACAAGAAACACAAACACTAGAAAATACATTTTTATCATGCAGTACTAGAATAACACAAAGGACTTGAAGATAATGTTCAGAATGACACTACATAACTGGAATAAGAATCTGTACTGAACTTACGTGACTTGCTTATTCTCACTGAAAGGAATTATCTTGGTCTATATTTTTCAGTCCTGTGTTGTAACATTTTATTTATTTCTATTCTTTCCAGGTTTGACAGCAGCAGCCATGGCAGAGGCTATGAAGTTACAGAAGATGAAACTTATGGCAATGAATAGCCTCCATGGAAGTGGAAGTCAAAATGGAACAGAATCAGAAAATGAAGAACTTAATTCTAACGCAGGTAAGTAGTGCTGTGCACACGAGCTCTGAGGGAAAACCTTTTTACCCATTGGTAACAAAATCAAAATCTATCTCAAATTCTTTTATTCTTTTATTTTGTAAGCTTTCCTCTGCCAGTATTAAATAAAAATAATTGCACATATTCCTCCAGTTTTCCTCCTAACAGCCATCCTCAGCAAAAGTATTGGTGAAGGATTGCTACATACGGGTACATGCATTTAAAACTCTTCTCTAAATGTGTCTGTAGTAACAAAGTATTTCTCTTTGGCACTAATATAGAGCATTTCCATATACTATGGAAGGTATCCAAAACATCAAGTTGTTGGAGCTCATTGTGAGTCACCACAGTTCACTGGAGAAAGGTGAAGTAGGGAATGCTAAATTACCAGCTGTTCGGCTTTTTTCATTTTGTTCTTTCCCTGTATGGATGTTTGCAAACCACTGTTATGAAGGAGTCATAATAAACTTTTGTTATGGCCTACCTGGTTGGAATAACATCGAGAATAAGGCACTGATGCTAAACACACATTCATCTATACTATTATTAACCATTAGTATAGACTTGAACTATGCTCTCTGATTCCCAGCTCCACAAGAATAAGGTTCAAAGATAGAAATTCATTTTTTTAAGAGAATATCTTCTTTATTTATTCTTATTTCCTTTTCAGGTGAATAGATCTTACTCAAACAGTGTAGAGTACTTAGAATAAGGTAGACCCATTTTGTATCAGGAAGCTGCTGTATATCTATTATAATAAGGGCAGATTCACTTGACTCAATATTTATAACACAAACAATCCTAAAATACACTCTTTACGTTTTGGAAGCTTGTGCATCCTCTGTTTTCGTTATCAGTTCAACAACAGAGACATTTTCTGGTCCCTCATTGCTTTCAGATCTCCATTGGCATTCACATATATCTGACATCACACATGTGTCTCTAAAGGCAAAGCCACTCTAACAGTTTGCTTGCTTGGATGGTGTATAGTGTATATGCATTGTGCCATCAAAATGGTAATTTATTAGACCAATAAAGCAGCAGCTGGGAGGTCTTAGACTCATTTTCTAAAGGAATAACTTCGAATTCATGACAAATTATGCACAAAGCAGTCTTTCCAAAAGTGATATTGCCTTTTGCTAATTTTGTGTACTCATCTGTACTGAAGAAATCTGGCTTCCAGTTCATGCATTAAACCCTTCCTCAGCTTTCTATTATGTTGAATACATACTTCTTATCCATCTCTCAGACCTTAATCAATTAGTGCATATTGAATTTAAGAAAAAAAAAAACACTGAAAAAGCATATTTAGTTTGTGGTGTTCTTTGTAGTCTGTATATAGTTCAAAGTGAATTACTCAATTTCACTGAATGCTAATATGACTGAAGATAGAATTCTTACAGAAAAGCAGGGAAGCTTCAAACAAAAGATGTGGGACTAGTATTAAGGTTTTTAAAAGCTGATGTAGCCAAGTGTGCTAATTTGAACGTTCACAGTTTGGTGTATTTTATGTTATGGCAAAATTTGTGTTCCTTTGTGGAGATTCTGCAGTACAGTAACAATATTATTTTAGGTACCTCATTGACAAATTTTATGGGAAATATCATACCAGCTTTTCTAAAATACATCAAGAGCATGCATATTAAATTGAAGTTCTGTGCAGTTTAGCAATTCAATGAGTTACAGAACTGACTCAATACTAATTTTAGTATTTGGAAAAATTCCCACTGACTTTAACTGAAGGTGCAGTGGGGCCCAAGGATAAAGAAGTGGTATCAGTTACATAAAGTTCTTTACCTTGCTCATTGCCATATGCAGTAAAATTACCAAGAATGTGTTTTGTGGATTGAGTGCCAACATCACTTGCAGGTGGAGAAATAAGTCCTTAACTGAAAAGAACTACTAAAACACTAATAATCATAATTTTCCCTTTTTTTTTTTAGTATCACAATGCTAGCTAGAAGTCAGATTGTTTGTAATGCACTGTTTCTCCCTTTCTTCAGAGGGCCATTTTTTGAATAAAAAAAAAAAAGATTTACATTAAGTAAATTCTGCAGAATGTGTAAAAAAAAAAAAAAAAAAAATCCAACGTAATTAATATGCACCTTAATTAAAACTGTCTCATTTCAGCTGAGGAATTATTAAATATTCACTATAGAAAAGTCTTTGGAAATCGATAGACCCTAAAAAGAGTCACCATTTTGTTTGCAATTGATGCACACTTTCAAACATTGATTCATGTGAAGGGAACACCACTGTAATTCTGTGTGCATGAAAGCTTTCCCAAATGTTGGTTTTGCTCTAGACTCTTACTGTTTAAATGACTATTAAAAGCAAAATGGGGATGCAAAATGAGAAACAAAATTGAATTTAAATTTTTTTTTTACTAAAAGAGGGAAAAAGAAACAGAGCAAAGGAGTCAGAAGCCTCGTAAGTGAGTAAAACATTTTATTTTAGGAGAGAGACCTACAGTTTCTTTGATTTGAGGTTGTGTTTAATAGCTTTTGTAATGGCTGCAACATGACTCTGCATCTAGATTTCAGCATGAATAACAACCTGTTCGTGTTTCATTTAGCTCCAAATGAGAAATTCTGTCTTTTATTGTTTTAGGAAATTAGTCTGTGTACTCTTGCTCCTGGAACTTTATAATTAATCACTAAAGGTTATGGCTGTTGAGAGTTTGTGGGAAATAGATGTCTGAATGATTATAATTGTAGCTGTCAAATCAGAAATATAGTTGTACAGAGCAGAGGACCTTTGTTTGCTTTGATTTTTTTTCTTTTTACTGTAACACAGACTTGAAGAGTTGCAAGTTTACTTTAGAAAAACAACTATAAAGATTTTTGGTTTATTACCTCGGAGTTGCATGCTGACTTCATTTGGAGAGTATAAGATTTAAAACCACTAAATATTTCACTTTAGAATGTGTGCCTGCCTCTTATTTCCATAGAGTGACAGATGAGTGGAGTAGTGTCTTTTGTTGGTGTTTTGGATAAAAAATGTCATATGCCTTGAAACTTTACTGACTGACTTTTTCAGAAGTGAACCATTATGTGCAGGTCATTAGTATAATAAAAAAGTGATGAGAACTTTTGTCATATCCATTTCAGTCCCCATCTGTATCAGTTGAAGCCAGAATGAAATCATTTTGGATGAGTTTCTTTAATAATGCTCAGAGTGTCACTTAGGCAGTTTCACTGTCCGTGTACGCGCATATGAAGATACAAACTTTGAAGATTTTCCATATATAAAGTCAGAATTCATGCCATCAGTTTACAATCTGAACTCTAACTCAGGATACCTATCTGTAATCCTTCAGCTGTTGCAGTGTCCTCAAGTAGATTACAGTCATGGAACTGAATTTTAGAGGAATGCCTGTGCAGATGTGCTGCTTTCTTGCTTCTAGTTTTTGCCATCAGGTCCTACCTCCTTCCTGCTATTGCATATTAGTCATGGTGGAGGTTGGTACTGCAATTAATTGTTAAAAAAATTCAACAACTTGCTGCAAGAGACAAAGCTGAAGCTGTGGAAAAAATGTACCTTGAGAATAATAAACTGTACATTTGGTTTTATTTGAACTAATCCATTAGTTCACAGGGTTGTGAAGAATGTTGTTAGACATTTGAACATTAATATCCTCCTTCTCTCTGCAGAAGAGAGATTTTTTGCACCTTCCTACTCATCATATGAAGTGTTGAAACAAGCTCTTCAGGCAGTTGAAAAATCTCATGTAATCCAGCACTGTATGTTCTCTGTTGTCCCACTGGTCTGTTCTCTTCATTCTTTGGGGCTTTGTGTCCATCTTCGTCTTCTCATAGGATCTGTGAAAGAAGGTTGAATTGAGAGAACCCTGTGGTTCACTGAAGTCCCAAGAGATGAGCCATGCTGCTGGTGGCACTCCAGGCATGCTGGGGGATTGCAGTGAGTCCCAAGGATTGCCGCAGCCGCAGCAAGTCACTGATGTGTGCCAGTTGTTGGGCCTTCTGTATTCCTCTCAGGAAAATGAGTAGGAGAAGAGTTTGAGTCTGGCAGCTGAAGCCAGGTCTGCTGGATGTATCTGCAGATTGATTTGAGCCCAGCCACATGTCAGGTTTGTTACTCTGTAGAAATAAGGTGAACAAGCCTCTCCAGTTGCATCATCAGATCATCTGTTCTGTCATCGTACAGCACTAAGATTAGGTGAAGCGACTTCTGGAAATGAGCATACGATTATCTGGGAAATTTGAAATTTATTTGAAATCATAGCTTTGTAATTTTTTAAAAAATTTTTGTAGCATGGTTCCAGGTAAATTATGAGAGTATGTGGTAGAGAAGGAGTGTGGAAGGTAGACTGCGAAGTAAAGTGTTGGTGGGATTACCTTTAAGAATGCTGCGTTACACAGCTGCATAAGCAAAGAAAGATCAGTGCATGGTAATCTGTGACAGTACCTGTTTGTACAGAACCTCAGTGCAGAGAATAAAGCAGTTATTTCCTTCTGTTGGCTTTTGGAGTTAACATGCATGATTTAATAAATGTGTTTTGCTTTCCCAAGAGAGATATCAAACAGTACTAAGTGTTTCAGTGGTATTTCCTTAGGAAGTCAAAATGTTATTCTGTATGTAGAGTCTTGTTGCTTAATTTTCAGACAAGGAGCTAAGTTAGGCAGAAGAGAAAGGAAAAACACCCTGGATTTTGGCATATGAGGATCAGAGGAAAAAACTCTTTGTAGGAGAAAAAAAAAAAAAAAAAGTGTTATCTTTTTATCCTTTTTTCCTTTCAGTACCTGCCATGCAGTTTTCTCATAAATGCAAACATCCTTCACAATCTGTTTAAAAAACCACAAATACATCACTCAGAGGAATATTTAAGGAACCATCAGGAGGGAAAAAACTCATTGGTTTAATGGAATGCTGTCAAGGAAAATCAGCATCACAAACGACACAGGGGCAGAATTGATACTTTTGCACTGACATGTTAAAAGAAAATCCCATGCATTATTTAGAAAACCCAGAAATCTGTCAGC